TTCTCCTGAGTGCTGAAATTACAGCACACACACACACACACACAGACACAGACACACACACAGACACACACACACACACCTGGTCTTCCAGGTGTCCCAGCAGCGTTTGTTGAATACACTGTTCTTTCTCCCATTGAATTATCTTTATAGTCATGACAAAAGTCACTTGACAATGTGCCAGGGTTTATTTCTGGACTTTCAGTTTTAATCTGTCCACCCAGATGGTAATTTTGACACCAGAACCACACTGGCTTGATTACTATCGCTTTGTAGTGATGACGCTGCTCTTCCATATGGGAACTAGAAAGTGCATTTACTACTTGCCTTGGAGGAAGAGGTGGCAGGTGGTTCTGAAAGTGTAGTCCCTGGACCTGCAGCATCAGCATCAACTAGAGCAGTGGTTTCAAACCTGTGGGTTGCAGTCCCACAGGGGATCACCTATCAGATATCCTGCTTGTCAGATATTTGTATCACGAATCAGAACAGTCGCAAAATTACAGTTATGAAGTAGCAAGGAAAATCATTATACAGTTGGGGGGGGTGTCACCCACAACATGAGGAGCTGCAGTGGTAGGAAAGTTGAGAACCATTGCTCTAGACACTGGTCAGAAATGCCCTCTCTCAGGCAGTGCCCCAAGCTTGCTCCACTAAAAACTGGGCCTGTGGCCCAGCAGTCGGCATCCTAACAGGCTCTCAAGGGATGCTGCTGGGCGCTAAGGCCTGGCATTCATTGCATTGCATCTGCACTGTCTTGATGTCCACGGAGACAACCGCAAACACATATGGTTATTGATTGAGCACTGGGGTTGTAGTCAATCCAAACACACTCAATTTCAAAGTTAATGTGGAACGAGAATAAAAAATACCTCATTCATGATTCTCACATTGATTTTTCACATACGTACAGGATTAAGTAAAACGCACCATTAAAATTGATTTCAGGTTCCAGGGAGATGGCTCAGTGGTTTAATGCAATTACCAGACAAGCACGAACACCTGAATCCACATCCCTAGATCCCACATGTTTTAGTTCGCTTTCTCTATTGTGATAAAATATTCTAACCAAAAGCAGCTTAGGGAAGAAAAGGGCTTATTTAGTTATACTTCCGTGTTACAGTCTACTGAGGGATGTCATGGCAGGAACTCAAGCAGAAGCTTGAAGTAGAAACCGTGGAGGTATACTGTCTGCTGTGGATACTTGCTGGATCAGTCTCTGGCTCACTGGCAAGTGGTGGTGTGCACCTATAATTCCAGCGCTCAGGAGGCAGAAGCAGGCAGAGCTCTGTGAGTTCGAGGCCAGCCTAGCCCACATAGAGAGTTCCAAGCCAGCTAGGACTCCACAGTGAGATATTCTTTCAAAACAAACAAAAACAAACAACCCCTCCAAAAAATTGGGTGGGGGTGCTTGCTGGAAAGATGGCTCAGTGGTTAAGAGTGCTAGCTACTCCTGCAGAAGATTTGATTCCCAGTACCTACATAGTTGTTCACAACTGTCCATGACTCCAGTTCCTAGGGATCTGACACCCTCTCTTGGCCTCCAAGGAGCCCTGGCATGCACGTGGCACAGACATATATTCAGGCCAAACAGCCATACATATAAAATAAGTTTTAAAAAAGAAAGAGAAAATCAAAACCAAAACACCCCTGATCCCTGTGTGAGGCATGCACTAAGGTCTCAGGGCATCAGCAGCTCAATTTCCTGGAATAGAGACTACACTGAGAACAAGGGGTGGGTGGATGGGGGGGGGGGGGGCGGCAGGCAGGTCCTTCCCAGTTTACACTGGTTCGGAACAGTGGTCAGGGCCATTGTTTGTATTTAACTTTGGAGTTTAACTTCTTCCCGAGGGATCTGATGTCACACAGAACACAGAACCTGGGCTAGCTCTCATTTTCAGACAAGGAAAAACCATCAACGCAATGCACAGAGCAGAGTCTCGTGTCAGGGCTTCTGATTCCTGTGGGCGGATCCTGACAGGCTGGGGACTCTCCCTCCAGCCAGCTGTCAAAATCCACAGTAGCACAGACCTGTAAACCCAATTTGGTGACCATGGAGTGAGTGCTCCAAGATCAACATTTGCAGTGGCTGAAGTACACTTCATGGTTTATGGAGCCATTTCCCACTCCTTAGTGTGTCTGAGCCGACCTGCCTCTCATCAAACCTACCTGATGGTGGAGTAATCTCAAAGCCATCAGAGTCTTGTCCTGTAACACTGACCAAACATGGTACAGCTGGGGCTAGCCCCGGGCCTCCTAACTGACATGTTGGTTTTCTATATATGTGCTGCGTGGTCAGGCTGATGGAAGAGGACATAGTGGGCCTGGAGGAAGAGGCCAACGAAGAGGAGAGAAATGCGCCTATCATTTCCTGGATACTTACTACGCTGTAGGCCCTGTGTGTACACCACCTGTTTAAAAGCATCAATATCCATCCACATTTAGGAACTAAGAGCAGGAGGGGGAGCAAGATGTCACAGTGGGCAAAGGAGCTTTTCTGCCAGACTGGATGATCTGAGTTAAAATCCTGGAACCCACGTGGTAGAATGAAAGAACCGGCTTCTGCCAGCTGCCCTCTGATGTCCACACACATGTCGTGGCACATGAACACTCACACATGCACACACAAATAAATAAATGTAAAAAGTAAAAATAGTAAAGGGATGCTGGAAACCTCGATCCTGGGTCAGTTGGGGTGACTGCAGAGAATGTTCCAGGCCTGTCAAAGCAGGGGTGGGAGGATGGTAGCTAAGAAGAGGTAAGGGAGGGAATCGTTATGTCTCCCAGACACCTCATGAGGTATGTCTTAAGTCCTGAAGGTCCCGCCCCTCTGTCCTGGTGCGTCAGCATCCAAGGTAGGACAGAGGAGTCCCAAAGATGCAGGGGTAAGACCTCCTTAAAGCCATGAGTAGGTTCTGGGGCCCTAGCATCAAGACCAAGGAGGGGTGATAGGTATAGATTAGACTGGCCAAGTGCTGGGCTTGAAGGCAGGCCCCACTACATATAGCTACAACCAAGTTTTTTTTCTTTTAATCTTTTTTCTTCTTCTTCTCCCTTTTTGTTTTTTGTTTTTCAAGACAAGGTTTCTCTGTATAAAAGCCCTGGCTGTTCTGGAACTCATTCTGTAGAATAGGCTGACTTTGAACTCACAGAGATCTGCCTGCCTCTGCCTCCAGAATGCTGGGATTAAAGACATAAATGAGCCACCACCAACTGGCTACACTCATGTTCCTTAAAGTACTATATAAGTTAGCTTTTTATTTAATCTTAACATTAAATTTATTTACTCTGTGTATGTGTGTGTGTTGTTTGACTGGGCATCCAAGAAAATCGTAACTCCCAGAGTCCCTCACAACCAAGTAGGTCCATATGACTAATTCTGGATGTGAGCGTAAGCAGAGAACTGGGCTAAACTACTTCCAGGCCTGGCACCCCAAAGACCTCCCTGAAGTGCTGCTGGTGCTCTCTTGGCGTCCTCTTAAAGGATGTTGCAGACTGGTGGAAACTGGAGGGTTTGCTGACATCCCTAGAGAGAAGCTAGACGGTTTCTGAATGTCTGAGTGGGGGCTCCCTCTTCCAGGCTGAACTGCAACCTGGAAGTGGATGAGTGACCATAGTACAAAGCACCCTGCCTGGACCGACTGGATCTCTGAAGTCCTCTGCCTTTGTCCTCCACTTGCTGGGGTGAGGCTGCCAAGGGCTTCTTACCTGTAACCCGACATATCTGTGCAGTTGGAAAGGGACAGAATGACCTTCGATTGGGCCTTTACTGGGTAGGAAGTCGTCGTGGTCCACGGGACCACGACAAGCCCGCTAGCATCATTGGACAGGTGCCCTGTAATCCTCGCAGCCATCATCCCCTTGCATCTTCTGGGTTTAGCTTTGCCCTGCTGCACTAGAAGCTGAAAGGAATGGAGGAGGCCCTGGGGCTGCCCTTCACCCTCCTAGCCGCTCCACTACCGGTTCCCTTGGCAGCCTCCTGTATAGTAGGAGTTCACTCGCATGTTTTTGTGGAGGAGGATTTGAAGGAGGGATTTGAGTTTTTCCCTAGAGACGCCAGAGAGACAGTTTTGTCTCTGCACAACAGGCTCGCCCAGCTCCTCATATAAACTGTTTCTGTGGTTACCTGTCTTCTGGGATGTTTGCAGTGGGTGGGCATGGCAGGTGCGATCTGCCAGGGTATGCCGGGAGTTGATGAAGGAGCTACCGTGCCCCTCCCTGGCACCTAGAAGGCCAGCTGTCCCTAGTATGGGAGATGTCAACCAAGCCCCCCCCTCACCAGGAAACTGAAACCACACTGAATGTCAAGGGAGGCAAAGCCCCAAAGAAGGATCCTGGCCCTCCTCACTCTTTTATAGGTGGGGAAACTGAGACTGAGAGAATGAATCTAAGGGTTTTCTTGGCAAGACCATTGAATGAGTTGGGAGAACTTCAACGGGAATCCAGGTCTTTCTGCCTCCAGGCCACGCTCTCCTCTTTAACGAGGCGCGGGAAGGTGGGTGATAGGTGCACACAGGACTGGCGTGGAGAGGGAGGGAGGAGGGCCTGGCGGGCGGCCCAGAAGGTGCTGGGGTGCCTAGGGCGACTCAGGCCTCTTTTCCACTTCCCTGGCCACCAGGGCCGCACTTCCTGCCAAGAACTGTGGGGGCGGGGGGCGCTGGAGTAAAGCCGGCCCCTCCGGGCGCCGCCTCTCGGCCTCTCCCACACCCGCAGGCTAGAGGCCAAGGGTGAGGGAGGTGGGACCAGCGCTCGGCCCCTCCCCTGCACCAGAGTCCCGTGGGACTGACACCCAGCCGGGAATCTGCGAGCGGTCAGGGTGGTGAGAACCAGGGGTCGCGAACCGAGGGTCCAGCAGTGGGTGTGTCACAGGACGGGGGCGTGGTCGGACTGCAGCCGGGGAGGGGCTAAGTCTGGGGGCGTGGTTGCGGCGTGGGGGGCGGATCCTTAGGAAACTTGAGTGCCCGCCCTCGCCGTGTGCCCCGCCCCGGCCTCCGCCTCCGGGTCCCGCCTTCTCGTCCCTTCCTTCCCGGGCTGGCGGCGGCTGCGGGTGGTGGACCTGCGGATCGGCGGCGGTCGCCCACACCTCGCTCCCTCCTGAGCCGGCGGATCCTTTTGTCTCTTCGAGCGGCGAAGGTCGCAGGGCCGACGCAGCGGCTGCGGGCGCACGGACGCCCGAGCTCCCAGTCACTTCCCTGGCCTCAGCCGCCGCCGAACTTGGTCTCGAGAAGCCGGCGGACCGCGTCCAGTGCCGGAGCCGGTAGGAAAGGGGCTACTGTGGGGCCGCGGGGCTGCGTGGAGGGAGCGTGTGTGCAACTGCTCGTTGCGACCCAGCTGTGTGAGTGCGCGGGTGTGTGCGCACCGGTGCTGATGGTGCCTGTTTCTCTGCGTGTTGGACTTGCAGCAGACCGCGGACCATGGCGTGGCTCTAGAATGGCGTGTCCTCGTGGGGATCGGTGTGCTCGGTGGGATGTACACTTTTCAGACTGCGTTGGTGAAATTGTGTGTCGGGGTGCAGTTGCCGGTGGGGACTAGTACAGGGCAAGTATGGAGGGGGAGCCGCTGTGCGCAGCGTGGGAGTGGAGGGGTGGGCGTGGGCGGTCAGGCCCCCGCAAGCTGAGCCCCCGGTTGTTGTCGCTCGGCGCAGTGCGTAGCTCAGGAATATGATGGTACGGTTAGGACCCGACCTGCATAGTGCCTGACTCATGGGTAGCGGGAATTAATCCTTCCCCACGGGGATGGGGGGAGGCCCACAGGGTCCACGTGGGACGCTTGTGGGCTTCTAAAAGGGATGGGGACCCACGCGGTAGTGATCAGCCCTGGGACAGTGGGAAAGATCAACCCAGCCCTGGCCTTGCCGTTACCAGCCCTGAGACCTGAGCCAGACACGCCACCTTCTTGGGTCGCAGTTGGAGTCTCTATCTTATGGGTACGGTCCCTCTGGAGCTGTCCTTTATGGAGCTGAGAACGCACTATGTGCAGTTCTTGACACAGAGTCTTGCACACAGTAGGTGCTCTTCACTGGATTCTCATCTCTTTAAAAAGAAATTTGTTTTGTCTATATTGTGGATGACGCTCTCATTTCCTCCTCTGCTGTGGTTTGTGCCTCCTTCCTGGCTCTAACTTGACAGTGAAAGCTTGGGAGATTCGAGAAAGTTTAGGCGGCTGGGTGCGCTGCCTTCTGTCCTTACCGCGGGCTGCGTGGCGCGGCCTTCGCGGGTGTGGAAGCCCGCCGTGCAAGGCACCACCCAGCGTCTGCGAAGGGTTCCAAAAGCCTGCGACTACAGACTGGAGCCCTTTTGTTCAACAAGTGCCTGGAGGGATGTCGCTCTTGGAATTCGAGTCGCTGTGTGAAAGTGGCCGTCTCCGTAGACACGCAGTCTATGGTTCCTGGAGCCTTCCTCCCCGCCTGGTCATTGGGGAGGCCACCCTCTGTTCTCCGAGCCACTACCGAGCCCCCCCCCCCCACCCCCCAAGAGGAGGGTATTTGCCAGGACTCCAAACCCTGTTAGACACCGCCCCCCACCCCCAAGCCCCACCTGCCTCTGCTCCCATGCAGTCATCCCGATGCAGGAGGCCGAGGTCCGCGAGGCGCCCCTCCTTCTAGTTCCACTCCTTGATTAAAAAAAGAAAAGAAAAAGATATATTTAATAGTATTAAAACATGGTTAAAAAAACGCACTGCCTGGATATGCATACTGTTCTCTACTCAGCCCATTGCCTTTCAACATTTGCTCTGTGCCAGTCCGAGTGGCGTGTGGGGCTCTGCTGCCACGGCCCTGCCAAGTCCCTTGATGGCTTTCCTTCGCTGCCTTCTTCTTCTTAGTACCCTTCCCAGTTTAAAAACAGCCTTTTAGCAAGGGAGGAACAGAACCTTTTGGTGTCAGGGACTCTCAAAACGGAGCTCTGGTGGGGACTGGGCTGGGCTGGGGATACCTGCCACCTGCCCTTGTATGGGATGCTCCTAGGTGCTCTCGCAAAAGACCTAGCAGGCACTGAGACACGGAAACATAAACCTCTGGTTTGGGTCCTTTGGTTTGTCTCCAGAACCCTGAGGTCTTTGAGATGATGGCCATCCAGGGATGTCAAGCTGGTTTATCATCCTGATTTGATGTCGGGGACTTTAGAAAGCCACCTGTTCTGAGCCTTAGCAAATTATTTTATATCCTAAAGAGAAAATGGCTTTTGACTGGAATCTTATCTCCCCCAAATCAGATTTAATAATCATTTTAAAAAATCAGTCTGACTTTCTCGGCTCAAAAGACAGACCCAAAAGCTGTCTTGTTTTGTTTTGCTTTCCTGGTTAAAGCCAGCCCTTTGTCTCAAGCAAACCAGTATTTTGGCCTTGGATCTATTTCTGTTTCACTTTTGAAAGCGCCTGTAATTACGGAGCTCTTGAGGTTTTATTGGATAATGTGCCAATGGGAAGACCCAGGGGCTGTGCCTCTCCCTGTCTCTCAGGATGTAGTGCCACTGCCTAACGTGGATTCCTTTGAGCCCTGCTTTTACAGTGTTTCCTAGGTGAAACATAACTGTCAATGTGTCTTAACAGGTCAGAAGCCATGTCTTTGAGAATGGATGTCTGGAGGCTGTTGGCTTGTGAGAGATCGGAGCAGGTGGACAACCCAGATGAACAGGGGTTTGCCCAAACTCTGGCTAGATGCTTACTTATGACCAACAGTGTGGGGGAGAGACAGAGAGAGAGAGACACACACACACACACACACACAAACACACACACACACACACACACACACACACAGAGAGAGAGAGAGAGAGAGAGAGAGAGAGAGAGAGAGGGAGAGAGAGAGAGAGGAGACAGAGATAGAATGAGAGAACGTGAAGGAATTGTTTTAGATGTAGACCCAGTCCCCCTCTCTGGCCACAAGGCTGTGCAGAATTAGAAATTCCCATGGAGGAAGAAGGTCCAGGGCCTCTTGCTAGGTTAGCTCCATCCTTACCCAGAGAAGCTGTTTTCTTTTGTTAGGTGGTAGACCTGTTTCTCTTAGGTTTTTTGAACTCAGCACTCAGGATCCACATCCAGTTCCACACTGGCTAGGCAGCAGGATGCTTTCTGTGGCTTCCTCTCAAACTTCCTCTCAGACTCTGTATTGCCCCTGATAAATGGTGGGACTCTGGGTGTACCTGTAATCCAATGATAATCCCAGGCCGTCCCAGGGAGCCTCAGTGTTTCCTTGGGATTGAAGGTTAAGCTATTTGGCAACTTGGTTCTTTACCTAGGTTAGGATCTGGTTTGTACTGGGTCCCAAGCCAGGCTTGTTTGGTGTGAGGGATGCTTTCAGTTTACGAGTTGCTGGCCCAGGCTTGATGGGGATTATGTATGTTTTTGGAGTTTGTCAGGATCTGATGTAATCGTGCTAGGGAAGGGAGGGCCCATTTGGAGTTAGGGTGAGCCGACACCTGGAGCTTTTGGCTGTGCTCTGCTTGGCCCCCCTCCCGCTCAAACCTACAGTCGTTTGGGGCTACTTTGGGGTGTCTGTGTGTCTTTAATTCTCACATTGTTCTTGTAGTGAGATCCTTTTAAGTTGGGTTCTTAATCTGTGGAGGATGTAATTACATATGGAGGTATCAGGATGGGCTGAGGGGCTAATCCCTTAGTGCCTCTTGTTCTACGTAAGAGGAGAACAACATTCACTTCAAAACCACCTACTAGTGGGGCAGGTTGTAATATATAACTGCAGATAATATAGTTTGACAGGTAAGATGTTTCTTTAGTGCTGATGAGCAAGGCGTGAGCTTAAAGAAATTACACACACACACACACGTTAGAGAGCCCTATCTTGACCATGTTGGTTCAAGTAAAGATGAATTTCCGAGGCAAAGCTTTACACCTCAGCATTTATGAACCATGACTAACTGAACCCTCTCTTCTCCCAGGCTTTCCCGGCTCACCGTCTCCCGCCAGCCTGAGGGTAGGAGGCGGCGCTGCTGGGAGCTCTTTTCCTTTACCTTAATGACTCTGGCGCAACGCTTGCCAGCCTAGTGGTTCTGCTTTCCTGGTACCCTATTTGTTTCTTTGTGGTGTTTTGGGTGCAGCCTAAGTTGGCAAGCAGCCAGGAGCCTGGAGGTGGAGGTGCCAGTTCAGCTCTACCTCTTTCCTTTCCGCAGTCTTCTCCAGGAGCCCGCAAGGGGCCTCTGACTAAGAAAGCGCAAGACTGGTTACCACAGCTCCGTGAAGATTCCCATGATCCTAAAGAAAAGGAAGAAAGGGAGTGGGGCTGTAGCTCTGTAGTAAAGCTCTTGCCTGCCTTGCCTGACGCTCTAGGCTCCACCCCCAGGATTGCCAATTAAGTTTAAAATGGAAGAAGGCCTGGGTCAGGGGGTAGGGGAATTCAACTTGCACAGCCTTCATGGATTTTGCTTCAGTATCCTCGGGTCTCTGTTGAAACCCTTCCTTGCTCTAAGTCTGCCTCAGCCGAGGCTGAGTCCCTTAGTATGAGTAGCATAGGCAGTGCACCTGCCGAATCCCCTAAACTGGTAGGTGACACACATCTATGTCAATCCCTTGGCTGCAGCTCTGGTTCCATGTTCCGGGATAGGATATAGGGTTCATGATACCCATCCCAGCTGGTCCAAAACTGTGTTGAGCCCACATCTTTTACCTATCATAACTAGACAATTTTCTCTCCTCAGCTGTGGAAGCTCTGTGTCGCAGGTAGGGACGAGGGCTCTTTTCTGTCCCTCATTGCTCTTGGTGAATCTTCAAAGTGAATCTGGACTGCCTGCCTCTTCCCCTCAGCCAGAGCCACCTCCTCCCTTGTACCGTGCCTTCTGGTGCTCTCGCTACAGCATTGCCACAAGCAGCTCTATGTAGGGGTGCACATTCGGGCATCTTGCTCCCCCAATCAGGTTTGTCCTCTTACAGAGTAAGTGCTATTTCCCATGCCTCCTGCGAGCCTCTTCCAGTCAGGGTCTGGGAAGGCTTAAGCTGAGAATGGGGTGGGCAAGTCATCAAAAAGCCTTTGGAGGTCAAGGGACCCATGTAGGAGAGCCTCTGCCTAGGAGAGGAGCAAGGGAGCTTCTGGGGGGTCGGGTGGGGATGCCTTCTAAGTGGGAGATGTGGGGAGAGTAGAGGGGCTGGGTGGTTTGCTAACCTTTCTCCTCCAGAATTCTGTAACTACGAGATTCCTACCTCTGCAATGCTGTACTATAACTCAAATAAAGTTATGGGCCTTTTAAGTGTACAGCTCAATGATATTTCTCTCAGTCTACAGTTACATAACCACCACCATCATCTGGC